GTCATTTGTAGGTTGCCAACTTGGAGGTTCTGTTGTATCTCAAAGTGCTTCACTGCCTCGACTGAGAACCTCATATTTTTTCTCAGCAAGATTTCCTCCCTCTGAATCAGTATTTAGTCTATAAAGAGCATGAATTACAGCAAGCCACCATAGGCTATAGATACCCTGGCACTGCCCAGCAAAGACAGGCTAATTATGTATTGAGGTTGGTTTGACATGCGTGGCACACAGACAATCCAGCGAAACCTCCTACACTCCTAAATGCTCACCACCATCAACCGCTCTCTCCTTCTGAGCATGCACAGCAAGTCGGGCCCCAAAACAGGAAGTCTGGAAGCACCGTGACCCAGGGACGGACTATGAAAAAGATTCTGGTGAAATTCAACTACTTTTTGAAAATGCTGAAGAATTCAGTTCAGTTTCCAACACATTTTCTTTGACTTTCATATTCCCCTGAAAAAATATGTGCACTGCAAAAAATATTTGTTCAAAGTTTTAAAGATTATTGGTGTACATTTATATACAAGAAAATACTATTTCATACTTCAAAATTTCATGTTTAATTCAGTGTGTAATTCAGTTTCTGTAAAATTTACTAGCAATTTCTGAGTGAAATTTTGTTTCAGTGTAGTGTTAGAATTAATTCCCCCTGATAAATTAAAAGGATAATACATTTTCATATCTGAGCTAAGATCTAAAGGGGCGGAAACACATTAAAACCACTGAAGGCCAAACATGCTCTCAAGACTATTTTAGATGGCTTAATTACATGCTGTAACCCTCATAGTGTTTTTCCCACTCTCTTTCCACTTTAAAACATGTATTGAGCTACCGAGGTCATGGTATTTTGGGGCCAATTTGTCAAACATGAAAGTGTTTTAACTTCATTAGTGATTCATTTGAACTCAGTCATAGTAACACACAACCAAATAAAAAGTTATGCATAGCTGCGAAATGGAAAAAGAAGGAAGGAAATACAGGTGCATCTCAATAAATTAGAATGTCGTGGAAAAGTTCATTTATTTCAGTAATTCAACTCAAATTGTGAAACTCGTGTATTAAATAAATTCAATGCACACAGACTGAAGTAGTTTAAGTCTTTGGTTCTTTTAATTGTGATGATTTTGGCTCACATTTAACAAAAACCCACCAATTCACTATCTCAACAAATTAGAATATGGTGACATGCCAATCAGCTAATCAACTCAAAACACCTGCAAAGGTTTCCCGAGCCTTCAAAATGGTCTCTTATGCCGAGTTCACACTGCACGATTTTCAAACTCGTAGGATCGCCTTTGTTTTCACACTGCGTGACTATCTGGGGTAGCATTCAGTTGCTGCTGTGTTCACATTGCACGGTGGATCGGCGACAGGGGGTTTCACACTGCATGACTTCACTATAGGAAGAATCGCCGACAGCTCTGTCTGGTCCACAAACTACGTTTCACAACAAAACACAAGCGAGAAGTGATAAGGAAATAACGCGAGAACCCGCGTGCGTCAGACCGGAGTTCTCGCGAGCAAGACTGTAATTATTAAAAAAATATATATATAGCCTGTGTTTTTCAGTCAGAACTCATTTCACACAGCGTGATTGTGAATCGCCGACAGCTCCAGATATTTAGCATGCCAGATATTTCGTGGGTGTCGGCGACGCATCGGCGAGTCCCTCAGGTCACGTCTTTGATAATTCACACTGCGTGATTGTCACTTGCTTCACAATTTGAGTTGAATTACTGAAATAAATGAACTTTTCCATGACATTCTAATTTATTGAGATGCACCTGTAGAAGAGCAAGGTCTGAGAGAGTTTTTTCTAAATCTAAACTAAAAGGAAATTTAGAGAAGGCTCCATCCGAAAGACACAGATATGCTTTGAAAATTATATGTTAAAAAGAGTGAGTGAGTCAGAGAGAAGCAAAAGGGAGAGGAGTGGAGTTTGGTCTCTGACAAAGGCTTCATTCATTGCATCTCAGGCTAATATTATACGTGTCTCACAAGGAAATGTCCACTTAGTCCTCCAGAGCACAGGCTCAGCACCACACCTTTGATTCCAGGCCTTGTTCAAATACCCGCCGGAAGATTTACAAGGATAACACTATCAGTGATGAAAGTAAGTGTCGGGCCCCAAGGGGCCCAGGTAAATAAACTCACAAGTCAAAGACAAATTGGTTTAGGCAGGTTTCAGACAAGAAAAGCTGTTTTCTCTCCAAACTGCTGCTTACTTCTAAGCAAAATATTCTCAGTGATTGACAAGTTAAATGGGTTTGTTTCTAACATATAGTAAAAATGGTAAGACGTTTCACGTAACAGATTGGAACACACTTTTGGATGTACTTTAGAGATGTAGATGAGATGTTTAGTCTCTAGATGGCGCTACAGATATAACCTGATATTACTGATTTTTTTTCATCAAATCCCAAGCTAGTTTTCCTAATTTGGATTGATGAATATTTGTATTTTTTTTTTTAAACATAACAGAGTTATGAGTTTACAATGTCAATTCCTTCACTACGTAAAGGAGTTGCCTTTTAATTTATGATTTTTCAAATTATTAATACAAATTAAGTCAAACATAAAATATATGATACAAAATAATGGTGTTGAAGCAACTGTAAGTAATCAGAGCAATGCTCCATTAAAAAACAATTTTAAAAACTGCTTTACAATAAACACTAAGCTCTAGTTTCCAGAAGCTTCAAATAAAATAAAAATAAACAATTGGCTGCTTCGCACAGCATCAAACAACAGAACTCACAGTGCCAAAATAATTTCCTCGTTAGGCATAGTAGAAGACTGCTCATTGCTGATACATTTGACACAAGGTAACTTAAAGAGTATGAGGGGAAAAACTGTGCTTTTTGCTCTAACTACGGTTTCATACCCTCCCCATTTATGTTGCAATGCTGCCTCCTAAAGGTGCGATGTAACAGACATAGTATCAAACTACAACGGAGTTCTCAAGGTGTGTTTGCGGATTTTTAAAAAAAGGTAAAATTACACTTTCAGCATAGAGAAACAATCACTGATAAAATAATGTATAATTATTATAATTATTAGCAATATCATTATAGCCTATTATTATTATAATATTAAATATCGCATTTATTTACCTCATCTATTGGAACATTTCATGTAAAACTAATGTAATGTTATTAAAATGTAATTTTATCTAGGTGCCTTGTTGTTTCTACGCATTACACTGCAACAAAGCTGTCACACGCCATAAAGCAGATTGTTCTACATTACATTATTGATCTGAGTTTCTTAGTCTCACTATTACCAGTGTAAACTGCTTAAAACCAACTTTGGGGTCAACAAGTAAATGAGGTGGCTGAGTGATTTCTTCCTTATTTTGCAAAGCACACATTTTAAATGTGTACTGTACAGCATTCACCCAACAGAAAACACTACTAGGCTACTATTGGTATTTACTCAGACAATCACACAACAGTTCCGTATAATACGGAATCATCCCGTATTTAAAGGGTTAGTTCACCCGACAATGAAAATTAGCCCATGATTTAGGCCAGGGGTGCCCAAACTCGGTCCTGGAGGGCCGGTGTCCTGCAGAGTTTAGCTCCAGCTTGCCTCAACACACCTGCCTAGAAGTTTCTAGTATGCCTAATAAGAGCTTGATTAGCTGCTTCAGGTGTTTGATTAGGGTTGGAGCTAAGCTCTGCAGGACACCGGCCCTCCAGGACCGAGTTTGGGGACCCCTGATTTAGGCCTACTCACCCTCAGGGCATCCTAGGCATATCTGACATTCCTCTTTCAGACGAACACAATTGCAGTTATATTTAAAATTGTCCTGGCTCTTTCAAGCTGTATAATGGCAGTGAATAGTGCCCATTTTTGAAGCCTAAAATACTGCATCCATCCATCCATCCATCCATCATAAAACTACTCCACACGGCTCTGGGGTGTTAATAAAGGCCTTCTGAAGCGAAACGATGCTTAGTGTAAGAAAAATATAGATTTTTTTTTAAATTTATAAACTGTATCTCCAGCTTCCGTTCGCTCAAGTTCACGACAATGCTTAGTGGAAGGTGCAATGTAAGCTCTGGGGAGAAGAGTGTAGTCTTGCCAGAACCAAGTTTTGTTTACAGCACAGGGAAACCACGTGAACTACATCTGTAGTTTGTGCCGCCGCTGCTGCAGCCTCCTCCGTCTCGCGGAGTTCCTGATCGGTATACTCCGGTTCAAACAAATATGGCTGGAAAACTCATTCTCCTCTTGTCTTATATCGAAATCCTCCGACATTTTTCACTCAGAATCTTTGTTTTGTAGTACTAGTTCGTGATGGGTGTTTTGTTTTGCTTTCTCCTCTGGGCTTCCATGTTCATCACTCTCTCCCCGGAGCTTACGTTGCACCATCGGCTACGCCTACGTCATACGCTCGAACGCCTTGTCGTGAACGCGCCCGCTTTAGCGACCGGAAGCTGGAGATTACAGTTTATTCATTTAAAAAAAATCTATATTTTTCTTACACTAACGCATCGTTTCGCTTCAGAAGGCCTTTATTAACACCCTGGAGCCGTGTGGAGTAGTTTAATGATGGATGGATGCATGGATGCAGTTTTTCAGGTTTCAAATACAGGGGCACCATTCACAGCAGCTTGGAAGTGCCAGGACAATTTTAAAATAACTGCGATTGTGTTCGTCTGAAAGAGGAATGTCAGATATGCCTAGGATGGCCCGAGGGTGAGTAAATCATGGGCTAATTTTCATTTTTGGGTGAACTATCTCTTTAATCTTAAAGCATCAAAGAAGCATTCCGTATGAAAGCTATACGAAATGCATAGAGTTTGTACCGTGTTCGCAGGCATATGCCATATGAACACCCTAGACCATACGAAAAACAAACTCTAAATTGAGAATTAATCATTCTTTTTGGCCAAGTCATTGTTTGATTTGTGAACATAGCCGTTCTTGGAAGGCTTTAAGACCAGGCAGAATCTTCTGCCTACTGATGGTTGCTCCCGCTTCACACCCACGCGGCAATTCTTCAGCAAATCAGCTTTGACGAATACAAACAACTTGGTTACTTTTCATGAGTTCAACATCCAGCCATGCAAGAAAACAAGCAATCAATGATCAACAAGGGAAGTCATCTTTAATTATTGTAAGTTAATGTTGTTAAATAGGCCTAGATAAAACATTTTTTTTTTACATTTAAGTAGGTAACGTCTGGCATATTCTTAACCTTGGAACACATTCTTGAAACACAAAATGACCAATAAAGTATCAAGCACAAGCAGCCATATTCTACAAGTTCTGTTCTCTTTATATATATATATATATATATATATCCCTTATTATTATTTTCCTATGAAAAAACACAATTGTCCCTTATTTTCCTTGTCTGATGTTGGCAACCCTAATCACACACCAGATGGCATGCAGACACTTATTTGACTTATTTGAAATTTGAATTATTTGACTTTTGAAGATGGAACGAGAATGGAATTACAGTAATTCAGTTCCGAAGTTGCCAGTTTTATTTACAAAGAGTTTGCTTCGAGAGGGCTGCCTTTCTTAATCATCAGAATGACTCTGTAGACGGTGTTTGACTCTGTAAGTTCAAGTATTTGTTCAAGTCTTGCAGTCTCTATGACGTCTAAAACTAAGCACAATGTGTTCACTCCTCATTCAAGTTCAGATAACAGACTGCTAAACAGCTCTCATTTGCACAAATTAAAACATCCTCATTTAATTTTGCCACAGGAAATCACATGTTATTATGCATCCACCCTTCTCCTTGAAGGGGTTTTTGTCCTCAGGAACTCCTTTTATGAGAGGATCTTCTGCAGCTTGGGCCTCAACCCATTCATAAATCTCCTTTGTGGTTTTAGAGACCTGAGGAAAGAGTGAAAATATATCAGAATTCTGCCTCCTAATGGTCCCTTCATTAAAAATTCAAAATGTTTAATAAACAAAAAAAATGCAAGGGTAGCATGATGTAAAGTACTTCTTGAGGATTTCAATTTAATCAACAAACAAAGAAACTTACAGGCTCTCTAGTGTTCTTCACCTCCTTCTGAAGTTGTTCCAACTCCATTTTCAGGATGTCCTTATCAGACATATCCCGCGCCATCTTGCCCTGAGCAAAATAAAAGTTACAGGGTCACGTTCATTTTAAATCTGTGACAGTCACATTTTTTAAAGATCACATTTCTAAATACCTCAGAAAAGGACGAAAAATAATGATCATAATGTAACGGGAGGAATGTGATATAAATCCCAGCATACATCCCAGTATTTAATGCCCCAAAATGAATCCTTAAAGATCAAGACACATCACTTTTAAAAGCTCTATGACACATAGGACATGTTCTAATTCATTGGAAATGCTTATGCTGTGTGTCACTGGAAAAACAGGCTTTCTTGTTCAGAAGTCAAGTGAGCGGAACAGGTTTAACGCACGATTTGTGTAATACTAAACTATTAATTATGAAAAAGATCAGTTGACCCGGAGTTGTAAAATTGACTGATATCTTGATACTTTAAACTGAGTAAATACAGGTCTCTTTTCTACCATAACTACAGTATTGTGAACAAGGCCTAACTATTTATGTATTTTACTCTACAAAATGTGGTTACTGTTGTTAATGTCACCTAAAATGATGATATAATATTGTCAAGCTCTTTTAGTGTTTCCCAGATGAGCATAATAAAGTAAACATGTACTGTACATGGGCATATTTATGGAGAAACACGCTAACCAATATGATCTAACAGTTGTGATAACTCATATGGTTCTGCCATTGGGGTAAGAAGATGTTCAACTGCTGCAGTTCATTTTGACTGAGAAGATAGCAATACAATATTCACAATTCCTCATAGCTTTCACTGTAATCAAATGCTTACCTTTTCTGGCTGTATAATTATACATGTATATTGTCATTCATATAATTAAACCTTAAAATATACTTATGAATATAATGCATTTACAGAGTTTCACTTACCTATTGGTCAGCTGGGCAGCCGATGGAGGGAACGCGTCGCTTTCTGCAATTTAAGGGACCATGTACAGGGTTTGGGGTCTGGTGATGAACTGAACACTTCGGTCTGCTGCTGTCACCTCTTCAGGATCACCTCCAGATGGTGTGAGGTGAGGGGGGGTGGAGACCCAACAAACACACTTCCTCCATCCAGATTTCTTATCAGCTTAAGCCATCTTGGTAATTAATTTGGTCAAATCACCCAGAATCAAGGCAGAGCAGTTTATTTGTGAGTGCATGTGGGCTGTTCTTCTTACAAGATTTAATTTTATGTAACGTGCCATGAAAAAAACTGGAGTTGGTACAGAGGATCTATCTGCAGTTGATGTATTTATTTTTAGAGGTCAACATGTCACTGACCTTCTCTAGAATCAGGTATCCTGGACATGACCGAATGAATATGTGAGCCATCTTATTCATCCAAGTCAATTATCCTGTTAGCCCAGAACACTTCCAGAAGAACAAATAAGTGGTTGAATGCTTTGGGGTTGTCAATGACTCTAGGAGCAGGGTGGCCAATAGACAGTACAATGTTTACAATGCTTATGTAACGGGGCTGACGAGACGTGAGACGTGTGGATCCGTCTGCAGGCTTTATTAAAGAGAAGTGGTAAACAGGCAGGGTCAAACAATGGCAAACAGGTATATGGCGGGCAAAGCACAAGAATAGTCCCAGGGCTAGCGTAGGTCACCGATCGGCAGACAGAATCACAGGGGCGAGACGAGAGGGAAAAATCCAGAAAAACAGGCAAAGATAAGAAACCGCGAAAACAGGCAAGGCAAGGCAAAAACAAGGAAAACTCAGAGACTCGGAATGGGGTACGGGCTAAACAATACTCAGCAGAGAAAGGTGGTAGGAGTGGGTGTTATATAGTGAGTGAGGTGATTAGAAACAGCTGTGTGCAATGAGTGCAATCAGTGCAGTGTGCAAATCGTGCAAAGAATGATGGGATATGTAGTCCGGGGTGCTATGCAACAGTTTGTGTTGTGCGAGAGTCAATGTAATGGAAAGGGTGACCTCTGGTGGTGAATAAACGGAAGTCCATGGACCGAATTCGTGACAGCTTATACATAATTTACACCTATATTCTTTAAAAACAAATACATTTATTACACATTTTTAAAAAATATTTATGACTCATAATATTTCATCAAAATGTATTTTACATTAACAAGACTGTTAGTAGACTCTATCTCTAATAATAACTGGCATGGTGTCATAAAAAAAAACCATTACTACTCATTTTTAATCACATTTTCAAGGCAAGAAAAACAAATAGAGTGACCTCTGGTCTTTCTTGACAGAGGCCCAGACCAGTAATATGTGACTGTTAACATGGAGGTCTCCTTGATTCGGTCCCCTGTCCCATAACACAATCCATCTGTAGGCAGGCAAGTGACACCAATCTGCTCATTCTAATCAACATGTCAAATACAATCAGAATAAACTGAAATCCACAATGACTGAGAAATGCAATCTTTGACCTACAAGGATCTTATATTTGGTCTTTTATCTGTGTGACGTCAACGCCAATTAAAGGCCTCATCTGAGTGATCCGTTATACGGAAGACAAGCCTCTGGCTTTAGCTAATCCCATCACAAGGTCTTGACTATCTTAATCCAAGAGATTAGACTCAGAGATGTCACTCTCACTCTCACTTTCACTATGAAATATAGAGCAAGGCTTCCTGTTTTTTTTTTTTTATTATTGTTTATATTTATAAGTTTTAAATAGCATGCTATACAATATTCATGTCCAAAAATGACTGAAATAAAACTATACTTTCTAAAAAAAAATTATAATAATACTAAAGAAAAACAAAATCACAGATTAAATGTTAACTGAGGTAGGAGCATTACACATTCATTCATCTGAACACAGTGCAGTAATTATATTACACCCCATTACAACAGTCCCTCCACTGTTATTGCTCTCCTAAAAACATTCTTATGTTTAGGACAGCTTGGGTCATGCAGCTCACTCTCTGTCCTCCGCTATTTGCATTGTCCTTTAGGTGACATGACTGGCAGATGTTTGCCACTTGATTAATCGATAATCAAATTCGATTATTTTCAAAAAATAATCACTAATTATTACTAATCAGTACTTGATGTAGTTAAGATAGTTCTTAAAGAAATGGTGAACCAGTTTTCTCACTTCTTCAGGTTTCCCTTGATTCCTATAAGAGTCATATTTGTCCTGTGCCCGATGTGTCTGGTGACCAACAGAAAGGCCTTTACAGGAGGCAACCAACAGCTTTCCAAGTCCGTCAATGAAGAACTCTGCAGTCAGTGGTGACGATCCACAGATGACATGGAAAAAAAGGATGGATTGAGAAGAATGAAATGTGCTTGGAATCAGTCAACGAAGATGTTTTACTGAAGTAAAACTTGGTACACTTACCGGTGTGACCAACTCTTTTCAGAAACGGGTCAAAGCCAACACTTCGCACCGCATCAGTCCTGGCCAAGAAATAATTAATGACACCATCCACTAGAAAGCAGCCATCATAGCCTGGAAGTGGCTGATGAAACCCTCTAATACGCCTTAGGCAGCCGCCGTCAGTCTCATCTCCCTCATCAAACTCCAGAACGAAGTAGAACTGATCACCTGACACCTCACCACCAAGCTAATCCAAGAAAAAGAGCTTTTACAACAAGTATATTCAGGGTATCTGCAGGATTTTAAAGCTCAAATTTAAGACTTTTTAAGACCTGCACAAATCAAATGAATACAAGCGGGGTAGGGCAATGTCTATGGTAAAATATTAAACTGTAAAATGACTGTAAAAAGTATGATTTACAGTTTAAATACAGGTTTTCACAAAAACTAAAAGTTTTATAAAATGATAAACTTCACATTTCAGCCTTTAAGCTATTTTTAAGAAAATGGATGAGTCAAAAGTATCAATTATTATATTAATTTCAACAATTATTATCATGCAATTATTATATAACATATAAATATATTTTACTCTCTTAATTGTTTAGGTTTTATAATGCATTATCTTCTTGTTGATCCACCAGTTCACATTTACAACGATTCCAAGGGCCCAACGAGGGAGAGGGGGCCCGGAACGCGATTTTTACAGAGGGGGTAGGAACTTGATCACAGAGGGGGCCAGAATCAATATGCTGTTCAGGGGGCCCAGAAACCATAGCGGCGCCCCTGCATTAAGCTATATCGCAATTCTTGTCTTTCCGTCCCCAAATTTAAGACCTCTTGAAATCATAATTAAGACTTTCTTGTACCATTTAAGACTTTTTATGGCCTTAAATCTGATACAACTAAATTTAAGACTTTTCAAGGACCTGCGGAAACCCTGATATTGCTCAAAGGCTTTTCATTCACAAAAGAATATCCTTTCATACTTACAATATCTAGTTCTGGAACCGCTTCCATTATCTCCACAAAACTCTCGATCCGTGTGCCATTCAAGAACACAAAGTCGTCATCAACCCACAAGAAGTATTTGGTTGTGAGCTGAGATACAGCCAGATTTCTGCCTGCAAACCAGCCCTGAGAAACCAAATAATCATCAGCAGTGACTAGGTACCAGGTCATCAACACTTAACGTCAAAAGGCCAAGTTACACTGAACCAACAGATGCAGACAAACGGCAACAGACATGTTAATTGGGTTTTGTCAGATCAATAAACCTGTCTGCTCCTGAGGTATAAGAAGCTGACAATAGGCACTTATTTTCGCAAACTGAACATGCTGAATCTGCATTTGTCGGGTTTTGGAATGTCTGAGAAGTGACATACTGTTCTCGGTCTGCTGTAGGCGTTAGTCTGCCTACATGTTGGCGTGGTGTGAATTGCCCTTAAAGTTCACTGGCTTTTTTCTAGGCTTGATTGTGTTTATGGGATATTTACGTGCATCTCTAGTTTTCTCTTCCTCTTCTCTAAAGCAGCGCAGCATGGCCTCGCCCCCTTTGCTGCCTTTTCCCGAGGGCGGGGTTTATCTGGGTTTGTTACGTCACGAACCCGGGAAGTAACTTGTTTTAGTCCCTACCAGCCGTTTTTGTAGGCATTAAACTGCCAGAATTTTAAAAGACGATATCTCGGTTGGCATTGAATCTTCAGCTTCGTAACATTGCAGATATTGTTTATGCTCAAACAGCAATATTACACACTAACTATCGCAATCAACCACCCCTTTAAGATGTGTAACATACAGCATTAGATCAATTGAAGTGATGATGTAGAAGCGTTTACCTGTGCAGGAGGCATGATGTAGTGCTCAATGTTGTTTCCAATCACATGCTCAGGCTTCAGGCTGTCATCCGCAACAATGATCTTGATCTTTGGGTAAAATTTCCTGATACTCTTGATGAGGATGTTCAGCTCCTTATACCTCAGAAAGGTCTTGGTTATTATGGTCACCTGTGAGTTGACATCTGAATTGTGAGAGAGACAAAAAGGTTCCTTAGAAAGTTTAACTGTGTACAAACTTTATTTATTTATTTATTTTTACCCAGGAAAATTAGATTTTTGTTTTACTTAGATATTATAAACTTTACAGTTGTTTATGTAAAAGCATAGGTATGCAGATGCCATGGTAATCATATATATATATATATATATATTTTTTTTTTTTGTGGTTTACCATTTCCTGGGTCATACAGAACAGGTACTGATGGTCTCCTAATCATGATTGGAAACATGGCCTTATGGTCCTCAAAAGAGAAATGAACTAAGGAAGAAGACATACTTCATAAGTCATTGTAATTATATTTTTTACAATTATAAGAAAATTTTTTTACAGTGATTAAATAGTGAATACATATATCTATTTAGATGGCCGTCTGTTTTTAATATGTATGATGGATTTTTTTAAAAGTTGCACTTAATCACAAAGGCCCGTTCACACCAAGAGAGATACTATAATGACACATTCCACAACAAAGCACGCATCTGCTGCTTTAAATGCTTGAACTCTTTAAAGGGATTCCACCCAAAATGAATATTTGCCTTTTAATTTATTCACCCTCAGGCCATCCAAAATGTAGAGGACTCAAAAATAGACAAAGTAACGCATCTGACAGCAATATTGTGTGTAAAATGTAAGTTGCTCCATATTAACTTCCTGTTTATTGAATGGTACTATAAAAGCAGATCACATCAGTCAAATTCACCAGGTTACACTGATTAACGTGAACTTGAGCATTAATCCTGCCTTTTCATCACTGTGTGCTTGAGCAACACACTTTACAAATTGAAGGCCTAAGTGTCTCTCCTGTAGTTGCTTTTATAATCAGATAGCCTTTACCCAAGTCTGATGTCCTGATGTGGTAGATGGTGCTGGTGTAGGTCACTCTGGACAGCAGATCATTGAGTTGTGTGAGGTTGTTGGATGAGATGGTCAGATTACTTTGACCCTGTCCTTCCACCTGATCTCCATCCAGAACATCCTCCACTGAGAGCACTCCACTCTTCACACTCAAAGACACCTGCAGACATCATTGTGATTAATGCAGATAAAGTACTTTCAAGTTCTTTCAAGTTTGCAAGATTTGATATTGAATGCTTAACAAAGTACAATCATAGTGAATGAATACCTCATGCACTCAGAAACTGGTAAATTTCACAAATAATTACAAAGAAATGGCAAAGTGCACACTGAATTACACTTGACACTTCGAAGTAACAGAGTGAAATAGTATTCTCTTGTAAAACATACTCAAACTTTTATTTAGAACTGCAAAATGAAAAATCTTTGTACACTGTACTACCTACAATTTTACCTAGCCTATATTAAAAAACAGAAAGCACAAAGGGCATTGTTTGCTCAACCTTGTACACCTCACTCTTGCCTCTCCCTTGTGTTTGAAGAGCAAGACCTGAAATGATGATATAAAAAAAACAATTCACTTAATAGATCAAAGAAAAAAATGATTTTGCAACATGGTTTAATACACTTTTAAGCATGACTCAGTTAACAGGAAACATATGCTAACCTGGTATCATACTTTTCTTCAGAGGAGCTACCTTGAAACCTGTAATTGGATATTGGAGAGGAGAGTTGGCCGGGGCGATAATAATATCTGCATTTGTCTTTCTCCTGAAAAAAAAAGGCATGAAAAATACAACAATTTTGGAAAAAACTGTATAAATGGCTCTCAAAAAGTCTAATGAAAGAATGATCATTGGAATGTTCGAGCGCACCCTTGCTAAGAGATAATATGATGGAGCAAGTCAGTCCTCAATGAGAGATGTACCTCAAAACAACAAAGATATGCAGATAAAGGTCAAAATGCTCTAAAAATATGATGACTTTCAGAAATGTGCTGAAATTAAATGTGCATGGTTGCCCTCTGGCCAGAGCTACAGAGCACTAAGCACTAACTTTCATCTGTAAATAGCACATTTGTCTGTTTTATTTCACTTAATTGCCTTCAGTTATATGTATGTCTGCATTCTGTCTGTACTTTATGTACTGGAAGCTCCTGTCACCAAGACAATTTCCTTGTGTGTTAATCACACTCTTTCTGATTATGATTTAATGTGATACTCATGACAGATGACAACATGACATGGTGTTGTGTTACAGGACTGTGGGCGAGATGAAGAGAAATCTAGTAACCTGAGTTGGTGTTGCTTGTACTCATTCGCTCTGTGTTCCAGAATGTTATCCAGTTGATCTGGCACTAATTGTCTGGTGAGTTCATCTCCATGGCAAGAGACATTTGGCTGGAGGAGTTCCGTCAAACTTGACAAACATGTAATGACCACAGGTTATGCAGAGCATCTAAACTGGAACTACTTAAGATTAATTAGGAAAAGTTAAATGACACTTACCTTGAGATTTTATCTTGTTCAGGGCTTGCACCGTTGAATAGAATAAAGTAAGCAGATGTAATCGCATTGCTCAATAAATAGACTAATGGAGGTTAAGGTACAGACTAGTTATAGAATGCAACACTGATCACAAGTAGAAGAAACTGAAAAATTCCAACAATTTTACAAATGGGTGTTTCTTCGAATTTGACCACTTTTATGCCACAGGGTTTTTGTTATTGTCATTGTTATTATTTAAAAAAGAGAATTTTTGTTTTTGTTGTTATTGAATGGTCACATTTCAACTTTCAGTTTTCTCTGGTCCTTGATGACTAACCTTACATCCGTCATATAATATAAATTATGATACATTTAAAATCAATTGTATCGATCAGTAACAATTGTGAACAGAACTTATTTATTTTATATATTTATTATTATTTTTTGTGCATACTTTTTTACCAAATTATGCAAAAAAATTATATTATTTAAATGTGTGTATTTAGTATACATGAAATGCTCAAATTAGCTTGATTTAGATTGACCATTTATGTTCAGTTCATTTATGTTCCTGGGACTCTTGGTTTGTAGTTTACTCTCTTCCTCTTCTGTATCTGAATTCTAGTTCTCTGTTTATTTCCTTGGTTTCGCATTTGTTTCTTTGATTACGGATTTAATCTACCTGTGTGTATTTCCTTGTTCTTACATGTGTGTTTATAGCCCTCTGTTTTCAGTTTAGCTTGTCGGCTGTTGTCTTTGTGTGTAAGTATCTGTGGTTCTTTGTGACTTATCGACTTATCGTCTTTCACATCAATAAAAGTACAATATAATACCAATTATATCACAACATCATATGAGCACTTGCCTACAGGGCTCCCAAACACAATTAGGCAAGCAAAAAAAAGTGTAATGCTGCAGAGATCAGAGGTATTTTTGAATAAACTGTATTTATGAGGAAACAGCTTATTATTTAATGAATCATCAGCCTATCTGCTAATCTTCAACATGTTTGCCATTAAACATTCATTTTGGTTTGTTCTATCACTTGCTCAACAGGATCCTCTGTAGTGAATGGGTGTTGTCAGAATGAGAGTTCAAACAGCTGATAAAAACATCGCAACAATTCACAAGTAATCCACACCACTCCGGTCCAGTCTATCAGTTAACGGCTAGTAAAGTGAAAAGATATTGGTAACACTTTACAATAAGGGTACATGAATAATCACATACTAATGCCTAAATCAATACTTAATTCATCATATACTGATTATTAAAGGTGTTAACTAATCATGAACTAATGAAGAGCTATCCTTAACTACGACTGGAGTCACATGGATTCACGCATGAATAACGGCAGCCTTAACTACATGTTTGATAGTTAATGCATTAAGTAACATTTGTTGGTAAACTAAATCAAACAGCCTCTTTGAAAAAGGAATAAGAAATACTCTGACTTTGAAATTAATTTAAATAATGTAATATCATAATTTGAGAATGATTCCTAAAGAAATGGCCAAACTAGAAACATGCAGGTAAGGTCAGAATGTTTGCTGGGTGTCAGTACAGTTCACTCTCCATCCAGACGCAGGCCGTGATGATCCTCCTCTCTCTGGCTTCTTGAAAAGCCACACCACATCTCTTAATCGGGTTCAGTACTCACTGTGTTAGTACATGTGTATTTGATAGAAAGTATAAAATAAATCATGTGCTGAGTTTAGTAAGTAGTTAACCGTTAATTGTTTATGACTGGGCCCCCTCAAGTAAAGTCATGTCAAAATAATGCATTAACAAGCCATGAGTAGATGTCAGTGTATGGATAGTTAATAATGAATTCATTATTATGGCCCCTCTCAAATAAAGTCATGGCAAAACAATGCATTAACAAACCATGAGTTGATGTTAGTTTATGGCTAGTTAATAATGAGTTAGTAATGATGGGCCCCTCAAAGTAAAGTCATGACACAATAACAAATCATCAAATAAAATACCATTAAACATGCAGTAAGAGTCATCTTTATTTCTTTAAACCACCAGTACAACAAACAAAGATAAAGGTTATGTATAGTTCTTTTATTTACATTTATTTACATCATTAAACATATACGGACTCAAAATTACTGGATCGTTATACAGTAATTATAACAGCAATGTGTTTGTCGTTTTAATTGTATGCTTCCATTAGCTTAATTTGGACGCGCCATATTTGACCTTAATATTTTTCCTCATCTGTATCTTTACAGGTATGTTTGGGCTTTTTTTTTTTCTTTCTTTTTTTTTTGAGTCCATATACGTTATGTTTAATGATGTAAACAAATGTAAATAAAAGAACTATAAATAACCTTTATCTTTGTTTGTTGTACTGGTGGTTTAAAGGAATAAAGATGACTTACTGCATGTTTAATGGCATTTTATTTGATGATTTGTTATTGTCATTGTGTCATGACTTTACTTTGAGGGGCCAGAGAGAAGTCAGAGAGCGGAGGTACAGGATCATCACGGCCTGCGTCTGGATGGAGAGTGAACTGAACTGACACCCAGCACTAATGATTATTAAAGGTGTTAACTAATCATGAACTAATGAAGAGCTATCCTTAACTACGACTGGAGTCACATGGATTCACGCATGAATAACGGCAGCCTTAACTACATGTTTGATAGTTAATGCATTAAGTAACATTTGTTGGTAAACTAAATCAAACAGCCTCTTTGAAAAAGGAATAAGAAATACTCTGACTTTGAAATTAATTTAAATAATGTAATATCATAATTTGAGAATGATTCCTAAAGAAATGGCCAAACTAGAAACATGCAGGTAAGGTCAGAATGTTTGCTGGGTGTCAGTACAGTTCACTCTCCATCCAGACGCAGGCCGTGATGATCCTCCTCTCTCTGGCTTCTTGAAAAGCCACACCACATCTCTTAATCGGGTTCAGTACTCACTGTGTTAGTACATGTGTATTTGATAGAAAGTATAAAATAAATCATGTGCTGAGTTTAGTAAGTAGTTAACCGTTAATTGTTTATGACTGGGCCCCCTCAAGTAAAGTCATGTCAAAATAATGCATTAACAAGCCATGAGTAGATGTCAGTGTATGGATAGTTAATAATGAATTCATTATTATGGCCCCTCTCAAATAAAGTCATGGCAAAACAATGCATTAACAAACCATGAGTTGATGTTAGTTTATGGCTAGTTAATAATGAGTTAGTAATGATGGGCCCCTCAAAGTAAAGTCATGACACAATAACAAATCATCAAATAAAATACCATTAAACATGCAGTAAGAGTCATCTTTATTTCTTTAAACCACCAGTACAACAAACAAAGATAAAGGTTATGTATAGTTCTTTTATTTACATTTATTTACATCATTAAACATATACGGACTCAAAATTACTGGATCGTTATACAGTAATTATAACAGCAATGTGTTTGTCGTTTTAATTGTATGCTTCCATTAGCTTAATTTGGACGCGCCATATTTGACCTTAATATTTTTCCTCATCTGTATCTTTACAGGTATGTTTGGGCTTTTTTTTTTTCTTTCTTTTTTTTTTGAGTCCATATACGTTATGTTTAATGATGTAAACAAATGTAAATAAAAGAACTATAAATAACCTTTATCTTTGTTTGTTGTACTGGTGGTTTAAAGGAATAAAGATGACTTACTGCATGTTTAATGGCATTTTATTTGATGATTTGTTATTGTCATTGTGTCATGACTTTACTTTGAGGGGCCAGAGAGAAGTCAGAGAGCGGAGGTACAGGATCATCACGGCCTGCGTCTGGATGGAGAGTGAACTGAACTGACACCCAGCAAACGTTCTGACCTTACCTGCATGTTTCTAGTTTGGCCATTTCTTTAGGAATCATTCTACAAATATTCTTTGTAGGTTTTGAGTTTTTATTTATTTATTTAGCTGCATATACGTCACAGCAGAGTGAGTTTAAAGGGAAAGAGAACAACACAAAACAGACAAGATCAGTTATTAGTGTATTTAATATTTTCTACGCTTGATGAGGAAGATCAACCTTCGCCACACAGTAACGATTACGACAATGCTGAAGATGTCAAAAGCTCAAATTATGATATTACATGATTTAAATTCATTTCAAAGTCAGAGTATTTCTTATTCCTTTTTCAAAGAGGCTGTTTGATTTAGTTTACCAATAAATGTTACTTAATGCATTAACTATCAAACATGTAGTTAAGGCTGCCGTTATTCATGCGTGAATCCATGTGACTCCAGTCGTAGTTAAGGATAGCTCTTCATTAGTTCATGATTAGTTAACACCTTTAATAATCATTAGTATATGATGAATTAAGTATTGATTTAGGCATTAGTACGTGATTATTCATGTACCCTTATTGTAAAGTGTTACTGATACAAACTGCAGTGTTGGGGATACTCCAGGAATGTGATTGTGAACTGTTGTAAAAGGTCAGAGGGTTATAATTCCTGATAGTTGAAGAAACACCCGGTTACTAAAATAACCACTGTGCACAGGTTGCTCTAAAATCATTGTAAATCATTTTGAGAATTTTCTGAATAACAAGAAACTAACTAAGAGAAATAAATATGAAAAAAGGACTGCATACCTGGGTGCTATGCTTTTCATGACGTTCAACACGCCACTTTGTATAAAGTAGATGCTCAGTCCAGTACCAAGAAAAATAAGGAACAAAATAAGGCGGATGTTCCTCATGCACTCCATTATGGGGGATGATCTGAAAGAACAGAGAGAAACTGTCACAAAGCAAGGCCAGACACAACAGGTAAGTGCAAAACAGGATGGTTTATTGACTGGGTAAGTGGATGACTGGAATAGGTGAGTTAAAGGCAGGTGAATGTCAACACAGTGAATGGTTCCAAGGTGCTTGTCTGAGTTCTGATGGAGAGGATCGTATGCCGGTTACGTTGGAGATCGTATAGCCGTTTCCAAGGAGTCGTTGGAGGATCGTGGGAGGAACAGCAGGTAATTCGTTCTAGGAGAATTTGGCAGAGAGAGTCCAGAGTAGTTCTTAGGAGTGAACGGTAGACCGGCAGAACTCAGGTGACTGTGATCGGGTAATTATCCTGGATGGTGACTGAAGTGACTGTGATGAATCCCTGACAGAAACATGAAGCAATGGGTCAAGTGAGAAGGGAACAGGAAAGGGAAGGCCACACAAGCTGGGATTCACACTGCGTTTGTTTGATGCGCAGCTGCGTCATAAGAACACGGCTCCCAAACAGATGATGTGTCCCAATGTGCCTCCTTATATGCCCTTAAAGTATGTACTCTTTTTGTTAAAAAAAACAAAACAAAAGTACAAACTTTTGAGTGTGAAGTAGAAGAGTAGGCAAGTTTGGGACATATATACTATCACATCATACAATTGCGTCTTTAACGGACCACTCTGTCACATAATTACACGCACCCTGTCACTGTAAACGGGCCTGTCATCGTCTTGTCACAGTTAACATCCTCCACATTTCATTTCATTTAACTTCCTACCATATTGGAGAGAAAAGAAGTAGCACATTGATCTGCCAGCCGTGGGTCTTTATACAGAGAACTCTGCTCATTTTTTTGCATAATGATGCATTTAAAAGTTAACGGTCAAATAGATGTTTATAAAAGTTCACATAGTTGCAGATTAAATATAACACAGATAACATTAAATAAATATTTTTACCAGGTTAAATGTTGATTATTAGTAACTCAAACCCCTTTATCTAAACCTCTCTACTTAACTGTCAGTCGCGCACATGTTTGTAGTTTTTTTAACGCATTTTATTTGTATTTGTAGCTCTGAACCGAATCATTCGCCAAAGCGCAATGGATTGTGGGTAATATTAGCCAAGTGTGCATGGATCCACACTTCAAAAATCTATCTGAAATAGTAGACCATCCGGGGACTTCTGGCATACTCTTTTTTTAACATACTACTTACTGTATGCTTTGGGACACACTTATTCTAATCTCACATACTATTTAGGATGGATAGTATGAACATTGGGAAGCAGAGACACACTTCTTAGAAATGCTACAAAGGCTTAAATGAGTAAATTTTAAGTGCATATTTCTGCAAAAAGTGCATTTTGACAACATTTACTCTGGTCACCCGTCACATTCCTGTGCCATATTTGAGTGCCGCCCATGAGCTTATAGAGCGTTTGCACCTACGTCACGGTTTGTTCAGTTAGCCGGATGTGCGGCCATATTGGAGATACTCGATTGTAAAAAACAGCGTGGATTGCATAGTTAAAGTACTACTGAAGACATTGTTCTACTAGTTTATGATGTCTAAACCATGGAAAAAACATGTGGAATCTGCTAAATCATATAGAGAAGGAATTAGTAAGCAGGAAAGGGTGTGATATTTTGACAAACTAAAGTCAATAGGTGGTAAAGATCCATACAAGCGTGCTTCTTTGGCTCCTAGAATACAATAATAATAAACATAGCACCATTATCTAAATAGGCAGTTGTAGCCTAATGGTCAGAGAGTCGGACTTGTAACCCGAAGGTCACAGGTTTGAGTCTCAGTACCGACGGGAGTTGTAAGTGGAGAAATGAATGTACAGCGCTCTCTTTACTCTGGAGCGTTGGCGCAAATGGCTGCTCACTGCTCCGTGTGTGTGTGTGTTCACTACTCACTGCTAGGATGGGTCTTTCCTCGGACAGTTCTTTTGCACTCTTCTCCTTGATTTGTCTACATTTGGCAGTCAATAGTTCTCCATATGTTTGTCCCGGTCCAACCGATTAATACAGCCCAAAACACGACAATACGGCAGACTTCCGGATTGATGACGTCAGTCCTTTTTTAACATGTCTGGCCACTGATTCAGTCACAAAATCCAATCATGAAAGCTAGTAGTCAATCCAATCTACGTAAGTGCACACATCTCTTTATCATCAATAAAAAAAGCAGCCAAGAAAGCCATCATCGCCGCTTCTCGTTCATCATTTACTGTCTCGTACAAGCATGAATTAGCAAAAACCCGAAAGTAAGATGCATTTACCAGTATCAAATTATCGTTTCAGAAGAGCAGTAAAGTCAAGTCTTTTTAAAACCTCTTACTAATCTTTGCTGCTTTCTCTTGCTTCTCTTGTGCTCATGTTTAAGATACCCAGGTCCTTCTCGTCCAGTGACCGGAATAGACCATATCACTTTACACTGCACCACCAAGCTAGAGGTAGAGGTTGAATTTTTAAGTTTGCTTGGATGGGTCTTTCACGTCTTTCCTCGGACAGTTCTTTTGCACTCTTCTCCTTGATTTGTCAACATTTGGCAGTCAATAGTTCTCCATATGTTTGTCCCGGTCCAACCGATTAATACAGCCCAAAACACGACAATACGGCAGACTTCCGGATTGATGACGTCAGTCCTTTTTTAACATGTCTGGCCACTGATTCAGTCACAAAATCCAATTATGAAAGCTAGTAGTCAATCCAATCTACGTAAGTGCACACATCTCTTTATCATCAATAAAAAAAGCAGCCAAGAAAGCCATCATCGCCGCTTCTCGTTCATCATTTACTGTCTCGTACAAGCATGAATTAGCAAAAACCCGAAAGTAAGATGCACTTACCAGTATGAAATTATCGTTTCAGAAGAGTAGTAAAGTCAAGTCTTTTTAAAACCTCTTACTAATCTTTGCTGCTTTCTCGTTTCTATTGTTCTAATGTTTAAGATACCCAGTTCCTGCTTGTCCAGTGGAACCGGAATAGACCTGCTCTGCACCACCAAGCTAGAGGTAGAGTGAATGTGCATCAAATTTCATGCACACTAATGTTAACATAGTGCATTGGCAAATTGAAGGAGTGGAAAATCTGCAGAGTAATGGACAAAGTCCAAACAGTTATGAGTAGAACCACCCAGACCCCAGACACGCTTCTACTAAAAATGTCTATCTCTCATCAGCTGGCCACATCACATTCTGATTCTAATCTTTTTCATTGCCTTTACAAAGCTTGCAAGTCTGTGTCTTATTCTTGATACAGTGGGATGAAAGTGAAATAAGTGTTTGTGAGCTTTATGTTAATCTATTATGTAAAAACACAAGACATTCAAAGCTATACACCAAAAATATTTTAAATAATAAAAATATAGTTTAGTGTAGTTTTTCCCCTCAACTTTATAGCATTGAATAAAGTGAGTGATAAAATCTCAAATTTCAGTTTAAAGAGTAACTTCTCCTTACGAATTTTATGCTATTTGAATGGAACTTTAAATGAACCATATACAAAGTCATTGAACAGTTGCACATGGTAGACTTTCAATTTTCAATACCTAATCAGACAGCTTGGCTTAATCATGCATTTTTTATAAAACTAGAGACATAGCCACACAGAGATATTAATGCTTGCTACATAAAACATGATAAAACTGTGAAAAAGGTAACCACATTAACACATGAACCACATATAACTTCATGCTATGGTTGTCTGTTAAAAATCAGAAAGGGCAATAGTGAACGCACCTTTCACAGACATTATTTCCTCTATATAACTAGATGCATTTCACACACAATACACTGAGATCATGGTGTTAAAATCATCAGTATCTTGACTCCACAAGTAAAGAATAAGGCTGTAAAATATTATCATGTTTGATTATTTAATAAAGCAAAAAAAAAAAAGATGAAATAACAAGCTGCTCTTCATATTACAAACAAGAAGACACCACTTTCCTCAACGGACAACATTTCTGAGTATTCTTACATAATCTGCAAACTCGACAGGCTCAGCTCATCACATTCCTTGCTAGGTTTCAAATATAACCTCTTAAGACCCTGCGGCCTCATATGAGGACATTATATTTTTGTGAATTTCTCTGAGACTGTACATGCCACAGTTTTAAGTCTGGGTGTCCTGTACAAAGCACATTCAGGGCATTTCAGAGTTACTAAATGTTTGGATGTTTCACCATGACCAACCCCTCTCCTTGGTCTTCAAAAATTTCTGAAATTAATTTAGTGACACTCTTATGGAAATATGATAATATTTTGCAATTATCATTTAAATCTGACTAATTTTTAAAATGTGTGTCATAAATCAACATCTCAGGAAAATGTTGTGGGGTTTCAAATCAAAATATGACTTTCTGTTACGAAACAGGACGTTGATTTCATACATGTCCTCATATGAGGACACCGGGACTAAAAGTATGTTTATTACGCATTTTGGGAGACATAACAAATGAACAGGGAAAGAAATTATATTTCTATATTCTATGAAATATTATATATTATTATATGACCCCGATGGACATCATAATGTTACATCTCACCCCAGGGTATGTTACAACTAACCAAGACTATGGGGTGAAGTGTAACATTTCACTCCTTGTGTTTGAATCTAAACCATTCATTATCTGTATATGCTGCAAAGATATCAGCTACGCCATTTAACCTCTTAAGACCCTGTGGCCTCATATGAGGACATTATATTTTTGTGAATTTCTCTGAGACTGTACATGCCACAGTTTTAAGTCTGGGTGTCCTGTACAAAGCACATTCAGGGCATTTCAGAGTTACTAAATGTTTGGATGTTTCACCATGACCAACCCCTCTCCTTGGTCTTCAAAAATTTCTGAAATTAATTTAGTGACACTCTTATGGAAATATGATAATATTTTGCAATTATCATTTAAATCTGACTAATTTTTAAAATGTGTGTCATAAATCAACATCTCAGGAAAATGTTGTGGGGTTTCAGCATAACTTATGAATGAAATATCTTTTTTTAATATATATTTTTTTTACATTATTTTTAATACTCTAAACAATGTAAAGACATGGAAAAAAACTAACTTTTTCCTAAAACTTTTTTCTTGGGTCTTAAGAGGATAAAACAGCTCATACATTTTCAGTTTCTATTCCTCATGTTTTCCCTTCAAGGCACAGGCTAATATCTGAGACCAAACCTCAAAGCAAAGTTCTTAAGTGCCACTCACTTCAAGCATTATTTAAAATTTCACAGTACTTGTAAGGTTATAATGGACAACTCGATTTAAACATCTCACAAATAATAAAATAGTAAAATACCAATTGTTTTGCTCGTTGCCATCATTTTAGCTCATCGCTGTTAAATGACAGTCATAAGAATGATTATATTTGCTCTTTTTATGTATTGCATTTTATAGTTAATAACAATGTAACATGAAATATTATGCTGATACAGATGAAATGCTGAAGTGTGCAGTAGCATTGAGTGAGGTGTTCTGAATCAACAGAAAGGGGTCAACAGATGACAAACACACACACAAAAAGTAAAAGAAGTAAAATAAATTAAGAAAGAATGAATGAATGAACCAATGAGAAAAAACGCTTTGTCTGTTGTGTATGCAAATATGCAAACATTGAGTTCTTCCAGCCATATTGAAAAATAAAGTGGAAATAAAGTGTTTTTCAGTTTTCCCTGTATGTATTTCAACTTATATTAAGAAAAATTATATTTTATATTAAGAAAGTTATAACCTTAATAAGATTAATTTAGAGCTATTAAAGGAATTTCAAGACAATGGTAGTGCATTCATTACATCTATTTTGTGTTATTTTTTTCTTTAATTATTAATGTACAAGTGTCAAATGCTAATATTCAATGCTATCACGTTATTAATATTCAGCTGTGTTCATCTATATTCAGATGTGTTAATTACATTTTCCCTTGTCAATGAAAAAAAAAAAATAAATAAAATAAAAAGTACGTAATTGACAAGACATGTCAGTTGTATTCATGTAAATCTAGTACAGGCTATAAGGTATTTTAAGAACAGACAGAGAGAATATTAATATATATATATATATATATA